CTTCATCCGACTACCCCCAGCCTAGATCTGGCTTGGTACTCTGTGGGCCTTTCTGTTAAAAAGTCAATTCTGGAAAAATTTTTCTTACTTCTTTGTTTTCTCCCACTCGTTTTTTTTTCTGTTCTTTTTCTTTTCAAATGCATATTAGATGAATATTGGTCTTCTTAGATTGATCCTGTTACCCATGATTTCCAAAATATACATGCATATCATCTCTTTAAAAAAAAGAATGCATGTTCCACAATGTGTTATGCATATTTATTTTTAAATTATGTACATGTACCTTTGTACTAATTAATTATTTACCTTATAAATCTACCCTGACATATTTTTGAAGGATGAGGTACAAGAAGTATTGTATTTAGAAGCTTTGGTACTTTCTTCCTTAATCCCAGTGGGTCATTTTGTGTAGCCCATGAAATGCATTTCACACACCGCCCCCACTTTGGATACCACTTCTCTGAGTCACTTAACTTCTCTTTCATGGTTTCCACCTTTTTTCTTTGTCTTCTAAGTTCTGGAGAATTTCCTTAGTTCGTTTTCTGGTATTGCTCTTTTTTTTTCCAAAACAGCTTTAATTTCAATGAATTCTTTTTTAATATTTATTAAACTCTAAAAGATATGTTTAATTGTGTAAACTTTGTATTGTTCTTTGATTGCTATTTTTAGTGACAACCTGCTTTTATTACATATCTGCTTTATCTTTTGGAAGCCTCCTGAGAATATTAATGAAAATTTTATATCTCTGCTTTTTTCAGGATTAATAGTATTGTTTATCTTCGACCTCATCTTAAGAGCTGCTAGTTTTCTGCAAGAGTCTGGTTATCTAATTATATTTAAACATGAAGGACTAGTGATTGACTTAGATGCCTTGTGTGGGTTACCCTAAATGAGAAGGCTGACATAGCAAACTGTGTTTTAGGTGTATGATGTACCATCTAGCAGGCTTCATTTTAGAACTTTTAAAGAGTAGGCAGGCGATCTGATTGTGTTACAAATGCCAGCATTATTGGGGCCCACTCTGGGAATCGCTCCCTGGCCCCCCTGCACACATACACACACACTCTGGAGCCTTAGCTCTTCCCTGCCAGGCTGCTCAGCCTGTGGGCAGGTGTTGCTGTTAGCACTCAGCTGCATTGCAGTGGGGTGGAGGGTGACCCAGACAGCCTTTCATTTGATGGTGCTTCAAGAAATCTCAATTTCTTCTCTTCACTCTCTTACCTGTATCTCAGGAGGATGCTGTTAGGAAAAATAGTCCCTCCAGAAGGAGCATTGATCTTTTAGAGCATCATCATGAATTGGAAGCTCTAGAAGTAATTCTTGATGATGCCTTTCCAAGCACTAGGATTTTGCTTTGAGTCAATTATCTCTTCCAGGGGACTAATGGAAGAGCATTTTTCATGTAGTTCCTGACTTGGGCTGCCATACACACCCCCGTCCCTGCTCCCAGCGACCGCTATTGCTGCCATTGTGGAAATAGGAATTTTAGGGGCTTTGAAGTAAAAGAGGGAGAAAATAATGAAAAGCCAAAACATCTTAGAGATATGACCACTGAGGCCTGGAGTTCATCTATTTGGATATTTATTTAGATTAACTCCTTTCTAAAATAAAAAAAATCATGTAACTTTTGATACTTAAAGGGCTACATTAGTGGAGGTTAGTGTGTTTATGTTGAAATGACATTTATTGAGCATTTACTCTATAGTCATTCCTAGGTTCTTTTTTCTTTCTTTCTTTTTTTTTTTTTTGGTTCTTCTCTCAATAACATGTTCATTCAGCAAATTTATTGAATGTCTGCTGTTTGTGAGGCACTGGGTTAGGCTTTAGAAATATAGTGGTAGGCAGAACAGACAGACAGGATCCTGGCCTTATGAAGATGGCAGCTTACTGGTAGAGACAAATTTTAATCCAATAATTATAACTAATACAAATTTTATAAGCACTGAAGGAAAAGTAAAGGGAGCAAAGAACTGTAGCAGGTGGACCTGAATTAGAATGAAAGTTGAGGAAGAGGAGGGAATGCATGAGGTGAAACTGATTGTGACAGGAGTTAACAGGGGTAGCAGGAATTAAGTAGGTAAAAGAGTTTATCCAAGTACGGTAGATATCAACGCCCTGAGGTGGGAAGGAATGTGGTATAGTTGAGGAACTAGATGACAGCTGGCCTGGAAGGAGCTTGGATGTGGTTTGGAGAGAGGCAGGGACCAGCTTTATAGACCAGGAGTTTGGATTTGATTCTAAATGCATGGGAGACAGTTCTGCAGGAGAGAGCCAGTGATGAGACTTTCATTTCAGAGGAATGCTCTGGTTGTGCTGTGGAGAACATATTGCTACAGACTGTTGTAGCAGCCCAGGTAAGGAATAGTGGTAGTGGAGATGGGAGACGTGGAAGATTTGAGATCTATAATGAAAGCAGAAATAACAGAACTTGACCATGAGGGAGTTATCAGGAATGATCCCTAACTTTGTGGCTTATGTAACTGGATGGATGTTCATGTCATTTCCTGAGCTAAGGAGTGCCAAGGGTCAGGGCTCCAGGGGGAAGGAGAAGGAGGGAGATTATGATTTTGGACATCTTGAACTTGAGGTACTCTTTTGGTATCTTAAGTGCTGATGTTGAATAAGCAATTGGACACATGAACCTGGAATGTAACTATTTGTATTAGACATAAATTTGAGAGACATGGGTATGTAGATGGTCAGTGAGGAAACAGGCGAGGGTAAGATTGCCTGGGAAGAGTGTGTGTGCAGTGAGACAAGAAGTGCGTTTAGATCTAAGCCAGTTGAACTCCCAACGTTTACAAGGTAGTTGGGGAGGCAGTGACTGAAAAGGAGTGGCCAGTGAAGTACAGTAAAACTAGAGTCTGCCAGAGAAGAGGGGAGTTCCAGCAGTGAGGAGCTGTCAGCATTGTCATATAGTGCTGTGGGAGAGAAAATGAAAATTGAAAAAACAAATTCCCAGTAGAAGGCTTCGGGGCACTCAGTAAGAGCTGTTTCACTGAAGTGAGACAAGTGGAAATCAGGTTGGTGTGACTTTGAATAGAGCAGAGAAGTGGACCTATTTTTTTCTTTCTTTCTCTCTCCTTTAAGATGGCAAAGGCTTGATTGTGATCCCTGAGAAGGAAGGAGGAAAGAAAATTCTGAACAGAGTGATTTCCCCTTTAATGGGAGAAGGAGTAATTCCTGTAATCTAACAGGGATTGTGGGGCTAGTGGGGAGCTGGTAGAGGATGGATGTAGATGTGATCGGTGGACAGCATGTTTCCTTCTTCTGATGGCTTCCATTTTCTTTGTGAAGTAGGGGCAGGGTTGTCTCTTGAGAGCTGAAGGAAGTTTGGGGGGATGTGGGAGGTTAGACGAGAGTGGAGAACACCTGAAATAGTCCTAGAAGAGAGTGAAAGAATGAACTGATGAAAGATGAGAAGCAAGATTGTCAGGCTGTCTTGAGGGCCTAGGTGAGATGCCTGTTCAGTTGGGTGTGGTTTTCTTCAGTAGTACTTCATTCCCTTGGTACAGGCAGGGAGAAAAGCAATCAAATTCATTTAGGGTTTGTATTTTGACAAACAAGTGAAACAAGTCAGAGGGCAAAGGAGTCTAGAGTATTTGTAAAAGAGTTATTTCAGATGTGAACAGGGGAATTCTAAGGTGGGTAAGTGGGTAAATACCTAAGATGGACACTAACAGATAAGGAGAAGAGAGAAGTCTCTCAGTGACTTGGTTGTCCCTATAGGATCAAAGATGCTTATAGTGAAAGGAGATATGGTTTAAGAAAAGACACTTGAATTAGCAAGTATTGTCAATGACTCTCTGATATAGCCATTAGCCCATTTTAACATTCTGAGGTTTTGATGAGTTCATAATTTGCCCTTGATCACATAGCTAGTAAGCAGTGAAACTGTGACTGGAACCAAAGGTTATCTAACTCAAAAGACTAGGTGGGTATAGGGAAAGAATTAAAAGAAGTTTGAGCTAAATGTTACGGACCCATGAGCTATTCCCCCAGTTGGTTCAGCCCTTGAGTTTTTGTATCTGTAAGTGGTGATGTTCATCTTCCCTGGTAAAACCTCATGGCTACTACTGCTCTTTCTGTGCCTCTTGTATTTGCTCTGTCACTCTGGTATCCACCTTTCTCTTTCCTTGCTCCTTGCTGCCACCCCACTGTAGTCTCTTATATCTGGGCAGCTGAAATAAGGTCACTTTCTGTCTTCCTTTCTGATCTACTTTTACCTAATATTGTGTCTTTGTCATTTCGGGCTGCTATAACAAATCACCACGTACTGACTGGGTGGCTTAAACAACAAACATGTATTTCTCACAGTTTTGAAGGCTAAGAAGTTTAAGATCAGAGTGCTGGCAGATTTGGTGTCTGATGAGGACTCACCTCCTGGTTTGCAGATGGCCACCTTCTCTCTGTGTCCTCACGTGGCAGAGAGAGCGGGAGAGTTCTAAGCTCTTTATCTCCTTATAAGGGCACCAGTCCCATCATGGGGGCTCCACCCCATGACCACATGCAAACCACTAAATTACCTCTGGGTGGCCTCACCTCCAAATACTGTCATGTTGGGGAGTAGACTTCCACACATTAATTATTTGGGGGGAGTAGAGGGTCACAAGTATTCAGTCTATAGCACCTTGCCTTTAATATTTTCTTTCATTACTGTTTAATTAATTTTATTCTACTCAGAAACTCTCAGTGGCTCCCTGTTGCCTACAAAGTAAAGCTGAAGCTCAACCTGATGTTCCATGTCTCCATAGTGAGCTTTTAGACTCCTCTCCCATTTCCCCTCCCATAGCAAGCCTTCTCAGGCAGCTCACTGGGCCTCTTCCCATTTCATTGTTTCAGTTCCAAATCCCTCTCCCTATCTGAAATGCTTTTTCCTATTTTTGAGCCTTCAGTTCCCACCTAACTTAAGATTACTTTTTCTTGGAAATTTGCTCTGACTACCTCATCCCCAGGGATCACTTTTATTCCTGTAAATCCTTGTACCGTTTAACTGTCTCTACTGCTCCCTTGACATGGAGGCATTTGTTGTTTTACTAATTTTTATATGTGTATAGTTGCTGGGATGGAGCCCATTTAAAGCTAAAATGAGGACTTTTGCTCTTTATGTAGGCTGAGTTTGAGGCCATGAGAATTTAATTTCTTGATGAATAAAATTCTACTTATTTTTATAAGATGTGGGAAATTATGATTTATCTTGGAAGCAGAGCTTAAAAAAAAAGTTTGGGATGTTTACCACCTTGTTAAAAGAAGATAAATGTGTTTGTGACCAGAAGTAACCTTTACCTGTAGAGTTACAAATCAGCTGTGTGCCTAAACTGGCAATGTGTATTTTCTCCTACAATTAAATCCTATTTCCCTCAGGTTTCCTGAGTTAGAAGGTTCCTACAGAGTCTTGAGTCAGAGCCAGGTCCAGTGTCATCCCCCAGGGTTCCAGAGGAGGTAGCAGGT